AGTTGAATATTTCATAGTGACTTTGCTAAATGGGACTGGTCTGTTTCTTCCAGAGAGCTGTACAGAAAGTGACCCCTCGTGGCATGAGGAGATGTACTGTGTCCAAGATGTCCTTCTGCACATGTGCAGGGACTCCCACACTGCAGTATTTCTCGCAAGGCTTTTCTGAGCTTCCCAAGCCACGGGAATGCAGCCCTGGAGATCTGAAACCCTGACCAGCAGGGTCAGGAGCCAGAAAGGACCAGCATCATAAAAAGACTGGAGAAGTGCTACTGTTCCTCAGCACCTGGCCTTGTTTTTGTGCGACTGCAAGGAGATCTTTGGATATCCTTCTCTTCCCTCCCTAGACCCTAAGAAGCTGGGATGGATCTTACCTGTGCATGGGTTTAGATACACTGAGAAAATAAACAAATAATGACTGGGAGGCTTGTTCCATTTCCTTGACAAAAAAGATTCCCATATATTTCAGGTGCCACTTCTTAATTTCTTCCCACCATTGGGGGACCATTTTGGGCCTCTTACCACAAAAAGACATTGAGGTGCTGGAGCAGGTCCAGAGAAGGGCAACGAAGCTGGTGAGGGGTCTGGAGAGTAAGTCTTATGAGGAGCAGCTAAGGGAGCTGGGGTTGTTCAGGCTGGAGAAAAGGAGGCTGAGAGGAGACGTTATTGCACTCTACAGCTACCTGAAGGAGGGGTGTAGAGAGGTGGGGGGTTGGTCTCATCTCCCAAGTCACAGGCGATAGGATGAGAGGAAATGGCCTCAAGTTGCACCAAAGGAGGTTCAGACTGGATATTAGGAAAAATTTTTACACTGAAAGGGTTATTGAACATTGGAATGGGCTGCCCAGGGAAGTGGTTGAGGCACCATCCCTGGAGGGATTTAAAAGATGGGTTGTCATAGTGCTTAGTGCCATGGTTTAGTGATGGTTTTTATGAGAGTTAGGTTGATGGTTGGACTAGATGATCTTAAAGTTTCCTTCCAACCTAGATGATTCTATGATTCTGTAACTCTATGATTAACTGTTTTATTCCCAGATTCCTGGTGTAATTTACTCTTATAGTACTCCATGGTGTCTGAAAGGTGGAGGGGTGGATTGCAGGTGCGTGGGGCCTGGCAGCACGTGGTGTGCTCTGCCTAGCACTGGGGAAGAGAAATAATTGCAACAAGAAGAGTCGGAGCTGCAGACGCAACTGTACAGTCAGTCTGCCAGATGGAAGATGTGACAGTGGCTGATGACACCTGGAAACAGAGATGATACTGGTTCAAGAAAGCTGAGGGGACCCAAGTGAGGAATAAGGTGATGTTATTCAGCTCATGATCCCTCCTGGGCTACTCTGCAGTGCAGAGGACACTGGACGAACTGAGGCATCTCTGCTTTGGAAAGCTAAATAGCCATAGCAAAGCAATCATGGTGCCTTATATACCATTTTACTTTCCCTGTGGACTGCACGAGCTCCATCACAAAATAAATAACCCAGCAAAGATCTTCTGGAAGGTGAAGTGTTAACAGCGTTTTGAGGATGTTCACATTTTCTCTGTGCACTTTCGTATGTATGCAAGCTTGTACTGGAACTGATCCCCTAAAAAATAGCTTATTGCTAAAATATTCTACATAATATTTGATAAAATTTTATAAAATGCAGCTCATAAAATGCTGCAGAATGTCTTGTATGATACAAAGCTGTGAAGTGCATCTCATAAAATACTCTGCAACCTGTATCTTGAAGCAGGGGATAGATGAAACGCTGCAGCAAATGAATTTGGATGACACCTGGCTTTCACAGTGATGGGTTTATTATTGGAATCTGCTGTGCTGGGAGAGATGTGAGGAGGGAGGGGAAGGCGGGGGGAAGGGAAGCACGGGCTGCCATCTCATGTGATGAGCCACCCGCAACCAGGGAATATTTATATACACACAGGAACAGTGTTACTAGAAATTATCCCCTTCCATCCCTCCCAGCACAATCACCGCTCTGGGCAAGGAGCAAAGGCCCAGAAATCCCTCTCAACTGGGCAAAGCATTTATCAGTTGCCTGGCACGTGGCAAACACTACATCTGCCTTCCAGTCTCTTAATAATACATACGCATGTTTGTCTTGCTCTGTGTAAGATGCCACAAGGAAGAAGCTGGCTCCGGCTCCTTCCTTGGGGCTGTCAGGATGGATGGATGCCAACCATCATGTTCATGGAGGGGTTTTGTTGGAGGGAAGATTCTGTTGCATGGGCAAGGTCTGCATCTCACAGCACCGTAGTTCTTGGCATCTACCGAACCTCTACAGCCCTCACTGCTACCCACTGCAGTAACACTCTGTTCAGTGTTGACATCCCAGCTCGGAATCCTGTTTATAGGATTACTCTTATATGGAATGTATATTCACAGAGCTCTGATTTATGGTCCTGAAGGTGTTATCAATTCCTTAGTCTCATTCCTGTACTGCCAGTGCTTCACATGGGATCCCCCATCCTTCATCATTTCCTTTGCAGAAACTTCAAGTCAACTCTTGTTTCAATGCCACTAGAAACCTTTGCCAAAAACAACCCACAAGGAAGCCAGACCTCTGGACTGAAGAGGGATCTCCCACCTGTTTTATCCTCCACAAGTTTCCCATCTCTTGTACCCCACACTCTGTTGTTTGCCTTTGCCCTCTCTATCATACAAGTTGCACTCAAAACTAGAGCCCAAGACCCCATCAGCTTCAGGCTTCCTGCCACTTCACCATTTTCCTCCAAATCCTTTGCCTTTTACATATGAATATTCTTGTGTCCCTGGATCTGGGAAGCATCTGCAATGAGCACCATAACTTTCTCACATGCAACAGAAAAGGCTTTTTTGCCTGAAAAGCCTTTGCTCACTTCCAGACCCAAGATGCTAGCATAGCCAACTACCTGGATCTGGTGGCCAACAGATGCTGCACAGAAAAGCCAAAGCTCTGCGCTGCAGAAAAGCAGAGGACTGCCTCGAAGGGCCCTCCTGGATGGTGGCAGCTTGCAGCAACCCGGTAGTGTGGACCTCTCCAGTCACTTGTCCTTTCCTTGCTTGGAGACCAAAGGGGTTAGTGACATAGGGCATGGTACAATGAAATGATGCTGCCACAGATAACTCTGGGAAAAGGTGCATGAATTCTTACAATTCCCTGTTGTCAAATCCATTTCGAAGTGATGCTTTATTTCCATTGTGTTTTACTAAGCAGGAAGAAATTTTTCACTATCAAGGTGGTGAGACACTGGAACAGATTGCCCAGGGAAGTTGTGGAGGTACCATCCCTAGAAGTGTTCAAGGCCACGCGGGATGGGGCTTTGAGCAGCCTGGTCTAGTGGGAGGTGTCCCTGCCCATGGCAGAGGGGTTGGGACTTGATCTTTAAGGTCCCTTCCAACCCGAACCATTCTATGATTCTATGATGCCTGCAATGTCTCATCTTGTAACGAGACTCACTGCACTTGCATGCCACACACTTTACAATGAAAAGTAACAATTAAGTGCATTGTTAACTTCCTTCCAACATAGTCTAGAAACTTACAACAAACATGAGAGCCAGTACCATGTGACAGTTGGGTGCTATGCTCACCAACTGTGACCAGAACAGGACTAGTCTTCATCACTAGCCAACGTGTCAGCAACACATCATACAGGACAGTCTTGGTAGAAATTTGGATCCCTTGGGCAGAGCCTTCTGCGTGCCCATTTCCCATGATAGGTCTGGTGTTCCCAGGGCAAGCTGGATACTACCTGTCTACAGAGGATGCTGTAGACATTTCAAGGTAATGACAAGATATTAATCTGTGATAAAACACTTCAGCAAAAAAAAAAGGTAATATATCTATGAGAAAAAAAATTAACATGTAAATTGACTTCATTTTGACCAAAGTGATGGCAAAGTAAAGGTAATTTATATATAGCTGGATAAAAGGTGGGGTTTAAATTCAGATATGCACCACAGGAAATGCAAAGGGAAAATAACTGCAATTGTGGAAGTCTCCTTCTTTCAATACAGTAGCTACTGTTTTAGGGAAAAAGGGTATAAATTAACATTTCTACAGAGATCTTACACTTGCACAATAGTATTGCGAGTAGATATTCAGTTGCACTAGACAGCTATTAGCTGACTCTGTGGCTAATACGGTAATGTAAGGGTCTGGTATTTAGTTCAAAATGAAAACAAGGAAACTGTGCTGAACTCCTGATACCTTCATCACAGACTTACAGCAGTTCCTTGAGAAGATGAGCTGCTGAGATGCACCATGACTGACATGCGGAAGACAGGGAGAACAAGGGTGTCCTGTGAGTGCTGGTGTAGGTATATATCCAGAGTGTGGTGGTGCATGATGAGCTGGGAAAGCTGGGCCATTTTGCCTCAATATTAGGCTCAAGGGCACACATGAGCGAAGCCCTTGGCCATGCATGGACAGTGTGTGATCACAGCCTCTCTCAGACTCACCCAACCTATTTCTTGTTCAGATTACCTGCTCCAGGGGAAGGCAGTTGTTGTGTGTCCATGCACCTACACAGCTCTCAGAGAGGATTTTGTTGACTGTTCCAAACTTGCAGAGTTAAGCATGTGGTAACTTTGGCTGAAAAGAACAAATAGCAGAAAACTACAGGGTCCTTGACACTAATGGCTGTTTTTCCTGTTTCCCAGCAATAGAGCAATTAAATCTTCTCATCTTGTTAGTATTATCTTCATGATAAATAATTTATAATAGTCTTACTTCGTATGATAGTGTCCTCTTAACCTCCATTGCATTACAAGACAGACATTGGGGCACACAAAAAGTCTCTATGAATTTCCTATTGAGTCCCCCTGCTAGATGAATAGATTGGAGCTGCCATTGATTGAATCCAGGCTGGATTTCTCAGTTTGAAAGACAGTTCACAAAGCATTGCACCATTCAGTTGCATGGTTTAGGCATATCCAGAATTGTCAGGTCATCTTCTGAATCTGGATCTATTCTCTCATGCAAAATTAAATGTAACACAAATAATTTGAAGCTTCTTCTGAATTTTGAAATTTAATTATCTTTTACGCTTTATCAAGATATACTTTATTTTTTATTGACTCTTTTTGACATCATACAATTTCTAATCTCAGCCTTTGTGTGGTTTTTTTTTTCAGCTCTTCCTTGCTCTGGAATATCATCTTCTGTAACATTTGTCCCTTTTGATTGACATTTATTTTCTGTGTTGAATTTCTGTGACTTTGCTGATTGTATGTGTATAAAAATTAAGTAAAATTGACATAGAAAAAAAGAAAAAAAGTGCATGTATATGTGTGTGCACTGATTATCACTGAATAATTAGTAAAATGTGGACTATAAACCCATGTCTCTCTGGAGAAAGATGCTCCCTCTTCCTCCAGGGAAGAGGGGATGAAAAAACAGAGCCTATTAAAGCACTTGGCCATTCTGCCACCTCTGTCATAAATCAGTCATGCGTGAGATGTCAAGCTGTCACGGTTTTGTGACATCGACCCACACTTAAAACATGTTTGAAATACCAAGCATTTGAGAAGTCTTGCTGAAGTTGGAGAGAGCAATTATGTATCTGAAACCATTTAACTGTCTCCTTGGGCCATGCTGGCCTGAAGGTGCACTTCCACCCTGGCTGTTGTTTTAAACATATGCTGGTCATATACAAAACTCCTGGCAGTTCCTCCGGTGTCTCAAAGGCCCATGCTCTCCGTGGCAGACAGCATGAATTTGTTCTGATTTTTTTCCATTTGAAGTTCTCACCACTGCAGCCTGCCAGCGGAGTCCCACAGCAGAGCAGGCGGAGTTTGATTGCTGAGACGTGGGGACCTGATCTGGACAGATTTCTCTTACACCTTGTAAAAGCACCTGAAGTCTGTCTGCAGCAGTGTTTGCTCCATTTTAAGCACAAACGCCATTTCCACATTGCTAAAACAGCTCTAAAACTTCCCACTGCAGAGAAGGCCAGAGACGTTGGGCTTCCTCACCCGTCTTCTCCATCAGGCATTGCAAGGAAACAACCTTTGCCTGGAGATCCAATTTTCACATTCATTTATGACTCTGCAGTCCTCCCACTGCAACAGAAAAAAACCCTGCCAGAATGCAATTGTAGTCACTTTGTACACTCTACATTCATTCAACTATTTCTCCATTCTATTTTCTAACGAGTTTAGCTTTCTTATTAGGAGTTAAGTCCTCTCCCCACCCCCCGAATCCCCAAACCTGTGCAGACTGCCTCATATTTTACAATGACTTAATCGATGCTTCCGAGAAACTTTCCCTCAAAATATGCAAGAACAAGATACAGTGTGTGGGAGCACAGACCACCTTGTAAGCGACCCAGATTAAATAAAAATGCCAATTCAGATGTAATGAATGCATGCAATTCTGGAAGCTTTGCAATTATTTCTTCCAAAAGTGGAAAAAGTTATGTGAGCTTAAAACAGCAGACCATCAGTTTATGCAAAATATCTGTTAGGCTGCCCAGGGAAATCTCATAATTCTCCTCACGGATATAAGTAAAAACAACAATTACACTTTAATATAAACCCCGTGCTGAAGTCAACTGACAATTTAAAATACTGTGCTTTGTAATAATAAAACATGAAGAAGTATGGGGAAATCGGGTATTTAATAGACCAGCAATTGTATTTTAATTAGGTTGTGAATTTATAAAATGACATAAAATCTTCTCCAGTGAATAATTAATTTTAAAAGGGCTATTTATATGTATATTACTTAGAAATAACTCTGAAGTTTTAGAAGACTGTTACTATGGGAGGAAATGATACTGTGAGGTTCTTTTATTTTTCGTCCCTTCCTCTCCAGTATTGAAACAACTGGAGCCTCACATACTTGACCTGCAATGCAAAATTGCCCACTGTCTTGCCCAAATAAAGTGTTTATTATACACCACCACTGGTGGTTCAGGCGAGAAGGACCTGGACTGAGTGCAGAGGTGCTAGGGGAGGATGGGCTCAGCAGAAAGCACTGGAGTTAGACCCCTGTTCTGCTCCGCACTGAGATGCAACAGCGCTGGTCCAGGAGACCCAACTGATGCTGTGGCTGTGCTTGGCTCTGCTACAGGCTGAGCATCCCTGCTGGTCCCTGTGGGACCTCTCACAGGTCACAGCCTGACCAATCTGGGCACCAAGGACTCAAGGAGGATCTGGTCAGGCAGGACATCATTCTGGACAGAGTGTGAGAACGTGCCTGTACTTCTGCCGAGTAAGGAAAAACACCCAACGCAGTGTTTAGACTGGTTTGCTCCATGGGCATCCCTTGCATCTCATGGTGCTGAGACATTGAGCCTTGCTCGTCTACCCACCTGCTGCATGACCAGATGCGATGTTTGTAGGATGCAGACCTGGGAGACCAGCCTACTGAGATCATCCACCACCCTGAAAAAAGCACCAGCTTTGAGATGTCATCTACGCAGCATCACTCCATCCTAATTTCTCCACTTCCTGGATGTATTCTGCAAACTATGCTGAGCAGTGGCATTCAGAGAATCACAGAATGGTTAGAGTTGGAAGGTCATTAAAGATCATCTAGTTCCAACCCTCCTGCCACGGGCAGGGACACCTCCCACTAGACCAGGGTGCTCAAAGCCCCATCCAGCCTGGGCTCGAACACCTTCAGGGATGGGGCAGCCACAACTTCCCTGTTTCAGTGTCTCACCACTGACATGGTGCAGGTGGCTGCAAACTCCTCCCCTGTTTCTCATCCCAGTCCTGGGTGAAGAGGATACATCTAGGGCTGTAGTTCTCCACTCCACCCTCCAGTGCTGCACCGAGGCATAGTTAAAGGAGCAGCAACGGCAATTTTTCTGCTAATCCTTAAACTGTTTTCTTCTGTCCAGTCACAGGAATGCGACTTCAAAACCACCACGCTCAGAAGGAATGTTCTTTGCTCACGCATCTGTTCTGGTAGGAGAACAGAAAGTTCTGGTGCTACCTTTGGTGCTATCTTTTCTACAGATACACTTCAATGGCAGCAGACTGAAAGAGGAAACTTTGTGGAAGACTTCAAAGATCTTGGCTGACCGGTAGAAAAACTCAAAGTGTAGAGAGATTTTTCTAGGGTCCAGTGCCTAAAAAACCTAACAAGATGGAGAGACAGAGCCACTGCAAGTGAAAATAGCAGGAAATCCCAAAGCTGATCTCTGCAACACTGTCTTGAAACAGTGCAGGCGAACTGCAGGTGTTCAAGAGCCCCAAAAACGGAGCTGTGAGAAAAAACTCATATTCCAAACCAGGCTTGAGCTTTTTCCTCCCTTGTGCATTCTCCCTCTGATTTCCTACATCTCTCACCATGTTCTCTTCTAACTTTTTGTTTCTTGTTCTGCTCCCAAATTCCTCCCTTCTGGATTTCCCACTGCCCTTTTAGCCATCCTTTGAATACCTTCCTCCCTTCTTTTTGGTCACATACAAGAAATCAGAAAGTGGACAACAATGAAGCTGAAATGAGACACAAAATCATTCAGAGTGTGCTCTAAGAAGTTTCACGCAACCCAAACACATTATTAACCCAAAATAAGTAGCTACCATCATCTCAAACTCCCATCAAGAGCTAGTAAAGTTATATGCATTCATCATACGTGAATATATAAAAATATGTATTGTTTGCATGAATATTTGAAATATGGATACAGAAGGGCTTCGAAAGGAGATATGCACATTATTAAATCAGCCAGAAAAGAACACTTTCACTCTTCAATAGGCTGATGATCTCTTAATAATGTCGTTAAGTACCAGGGCTCCTCGTTAACAAATTCTAATGACTGGTGGCACAAGGAAGAATTGCACTAAGACCAGGACTGGCTACAAAAGCTATGATGTTGCTGCCACCTGAGGTTTTCTTCTGGAAATACAACTCTTGTGTGGAAGGAGTTACTCAAAAATGGGGGTGTAGATGGAAAAGGGAACCCGAGGCTCGTTAGTGCCAAAAGAACCCTCAACAATGCACGAAGAAGAGACTGACATCATGGGCAGTTCCAAGCCGTCATCTTTTCCAACCCAGAAATCAGAAAAGTGATCCAACTGAAATCAAATGGTTTTTAGGCTGGATTTAGAATCCCATGCCCAGATTTGGGTCCCACCAATATAAGAAGAAGGTATCAACAAACTGCAGTAAGTTTAGCACAGGGTCAGGCCTGGAGCACTTACCCTGTGAGAACAGGCTGATGGACCAAAGCTTCTTCAGCCTGGGAAAGACATGGCTTCAGGGGGACCTTATAGCAGTTTTCTGGTACCGACAAGGAGGTTATCAGGAAGACAGGCTGGCTTTTCCCTGCAGTGTACACTGAAAGGACAAGAGACAAGGAGCATTAAGTTGAAAGAAACTTCAAAGCCTGTCAAAACTTCCATTATAGCCTAAAATAGTTCAAAATAAAGTTCGGCTATTTTTTGAGATCATAAAATATTAATAAACTATGAATAACAAACCATAGTTATTAAATATATTTTAATAGTTATCCTTTTTAGCTAATGACTTTATTGCTTACCTTCCTTATAACAGTAAAATCATTGCACAGTATTTAACATTAAATCAAATAATGGTAAAAGATTAAGATCATCCCCTCTCCCAATCTGATAATTTAGAAAAAAATACTTGTTTCTTGGTTTACTGAAATTGATATTTACTATTCCATAGCTGTAGTCATAATTTTACAGAGGGATTGCCCCATTTTAATAACTCCTCCGGTATATATCTCCAGAACTTACTGGTATCTGTACTTTCAGTGCAATTCTGAAGTACCAGATGGGCTCTCAGACATGACACAGCAAAACCCCGTAATTTTGGTTGATTATAATCATCCCAAAGTATGTTTGTACTGGAATTCTATATCGATGTCTATACATAGCTTACCTATGAGAAAAGGCGGGGAGGGATAAAGAAGGGAGGAAAGGTGAAAAATCAGGGAAAGTAAATTCAATGCTTACAGTTTCCTAATGCATCAAATTCTTCCTGTTTGTTAGACAAGTATTTTATTGTGCATTATAGCTCCAGTGAAGCAATCCCATTTATGTACATGCTGGAAGAAGAAGCTGAAGAATTCTATCACTTTCAGTGAGATTCCTTAAATTTTTTCAAGTTGAGCAGACGTTTAAAATAAGCGTACACTGGGTCAGTGCCTAATTGCACTGCTTGGGATTTAGTAGTATCGCATGGCTAATGTAATAGTTGTTTCCATTCTAAATTATCTTTCCAACTGTTCTTACCTTCCAAACCCAAATTCCTTTTTGACTTCAAATTCCAAATAGTTTGCCTCATGCAAAAAGACCATCTTTGTGTACTAGTTCCTGTAGAATCCATCCATCTGAATTCACATTACGTGGAGAAGAAAGAAGTGATTACCATGAACTCTAGCTCATATAACTAAGAATAGCTGTGAAGTTGCAACCATGGTTGAAATTGCAAAATTCAGCCTCTTGTTTTACAGCGAGTCTTTTGCAAGTGCACCATGATACCCATTTATGGGCTCACTGAGCTCAGCAAAAATTTGAGGAGGATCAAGGTATCATCTGTCCAATGTTTAGGGAAGGACTTAGCACCCACAGTCACTGCAAGGGACCAGGGGCTGGGGGGAACCCCCCAGGAAATGCCCATGAGGATAAGCAGGCCAGGGCCCATGCCACCAACCCAGCAAGGGAGCAGGGCAGGCTTGGGGGGCAGACAGGGGCATCCCCCAGCCCCATTGCCAGACACATTGGTGGTGACACAACAGGTCTGAGGCCAAGCCTAGTCCATCTGCAACACTAAGTAAATTATTTACTACCCAAACATTTGAAAAACCAAAGTTTTTTAACAGAATGAAACAGTTCTATTCTACAGTGTTTGCTTTCTAAATATATGCATGCCATGCTGGTTTCTACTGCTCTATCCATCTATGCATACTATACAGCATGTATGAAAATGTCATTTCTATGACAGACCTTGCTATTCTGCCACATACAGAAGGGCAGTGCTGGAGAGTACGCAAATACTGAAAAGCTTTGGCTATTCCTATTTATACATTCAGACATTTGCTAGGATAGAGAAAGACCATCACTATAAAACCAAAGACACTAACTATGTAGGTATCCTGTATAATACAAAAATTCCACTTCAAAAAGCACAACAGTAGACAACGATCTCAAAAAAAAAGGCCATATTATAATTGCTACCTTTCTGGTTTTGAATATAGACTGGATATTCATGGAAGGACTTTGATGTAAGTCTACATTAGCCCCACCTAAATGTTCTGGTTTATTTTTCTTCATTAAATGCCACACAATAGAGTTTTGCCATCAAAATCAGGAAATAACCTTGCAGCATTTTCAGAGGGGTTGAAGTTCATATTACTCCTTTTCAGTACAAAATAAGGACACTACTGCTGGAGAAGTACTAACTGTATTTGCAATACCAATACTCTCAACACCTTCTTTTCTTACCTTTGCAAAAGACAAATGCTTAAAACAGACAGTGAAGCAATTGGGTTGGTATGAACACCAGTGGGTAATGGAGAGTGTTTGACATTGAGTTGTACTGGAGGCTTTCAAAGCCCATTTAATCTTAGGAAAGATTAATTATCAGCAACAAGGGTTTCTCAACTAATGTTGACAGGACAAATCTGTTTCCTGTGCAGTTATAAAAGGATTGACGGAGACATGGGAGATTACGCGCCATCACATGCCTTGAGAGGGTGCTGAAAATGCTTTTGTTCTGTACATGGCAGGATTAAAGATTTTTTTGCCTCTCTACCCCATGCTGCTCCTCTTACACCACTGTAATTAGGATAAATGATCTCCCATTTGACACTCTTCAATGCCTGCGGTGCATAAGCCCAGCATATAAAATAACACAGGTGCTACACTTAATCCCCAGTTCAGCAAAGCACTTAAATGTATATTTTGAGACCGGACTTAAAGGTATGTTTAAAAAGAAACGGTTCTTAATGGCACTGGTGAATTGGGGCCTTAACAGACTTTCACGGTCAGTGCTCAAGGAAACCATGAGCTAATGCAGATCTTTGGAGAGCAGCACTTCTTCCACACCTTGCACCAGTTATACAGCTGTATCGCCCAGCACGGTCTGGCCCTGGACACTTCACACCTGCAGGGGCCTTTGCTCAATCACACGCCAGTGTTCCTCCTTTTTCCACGTGCCAGGTTTCTTCAGGAGCATCAGTTAGTGATATCTGCCCAGAACAACCAGCTTACATGGATATTGTCCAGGGGGGAAGTAATGGACCAGCCCCGGTGTCCCACAGTGTGGCAAGACGTATACAGCACTGTGGAGCCTCACATGCCAACAGAAAATCCCAGCCACAAATCTAGATAAAATTCTCACACCAAAAGTACTCTCCAGCAAACATTTTTCTTTGGGAATATATTTTAAAAATATATTATTTAACTCAACAACAGGATACCTCATGTAGTATAAACAAATATGTTGATAAAGTGTAACACAAAATGGAATTGTCAGTATTTATTTGTAATTTACAACCTCCATATTATTTTTTCCTAGTATAAAGGAGAATGGCCCATTCTCTGAGAAATATCCACCTAGTCCAAGTAAGCTTGAATGAAGAAACCTAGGCATAAGGTAGATTTGGAATCCTAGATCACTCTGTAGAAAGAAAAGGACCAGTATTTTATATATGCCAGTGTGGCCTCAGGAAAATCACTTTCAGAGACAATAGTTATCAGCACAGAAAGCCATTAAATCAAGTAAACAGTCATCTTCGGTGAATGTGCTATAAACTTGAATGTAACATTGGCTGCTGACAATACAGAAAAAATAAGATTATAAATGAAAGCTTAACTTCAAATGTAATGGCTTTGAACTTTTTCTATAGTGTTCCAAGTGCAAATTGTTTTTTACCATAAATAAATGTTCAATGGATAAAGCCTGTAAGATTTGCTGGCAAAGATGCACGGCCAGAGCTATAAATATGTGGGAAAATCTAATAGTTCAAATTTGCTCCAAAGGTCATCTGGAGTATAAATGTATTCTCAGAAAAATTATGCAGAAATTTTATCATTCTTTTCTTCACATGGGCTGAGATTGCAGGAAATAAGTAAGTCCTCACAAAATATAATGACAGGAAGAGAAAAATGCCTGTGCTGTGACTGAATCCAGTTTCTTCTAACAAATTATTATGTGTTCTGTGACATAAATTCCAACCATTAACCACTTCCATAGGCACGAAGCCAGGAGAATAGCACTGTTAAGACCGGTTTCAGCTAACCCCTGGAATATTTTACTCTTGAAAAAGTTGCTTTTTCTAGACAAAGGAGGTTTACATGCAGCTTGGCAAGAAGTTAATGTGAAAAGGAAAAGCTAAAACATAAAATCAACTCACAACTGCAAAGCTTTAATTTCTGAATGAAAGAGTTTCCACTGTTTCTTGTTGTCCATATATTAGCCAGGAAACACATATAATCAATATGTGAGTTACAGTGCACAGATGTTCTTAAGACTTGTTAATGTGGGATGCAACTCTTCTATCATAAAGGGAAAATGCAAAGTCATTTACCTCAGTTCCATCCAATACTTGGGTCACAGGGGAACACGCAAGAAGTGATGTGTTTGCTGGAATAAAAGGTAGGAATAAACATGCCAGGGAAGATACCAAAGACTTTTCCTTCTTCTTTGCTTGCAGACAGGCACAGGTCCCAGGAGCTCTCTTGCCCTGGGACTGTTTCCAGGACGGCTGTAAGAGATCCAGGTCACAGTCTTGTCCATAAGGAATGGGAACAAGCTACACTTCACGGGAGCACATATATGCTAATTAATACCATTTCTTCTGCAATTATAATTGCAACAATATATAATTCAACAATCTTTAACAGAAATCAGACTGATAACAAGTCCTCCCAAAAACAAGTATACAAAAAGTCTGTGCCATCAGACAGGCTGAATGACAAAACTGAAGAAAATCATTACAGTAAACTAAATAAACACATATGTAGCTACTTTCTATCACCTCTGATGTCTCCATCCCATTAGCCAAAGAGTTATTTGTAATATCATTGCCAGCAAAAGGTGAATTAATTTTCCCTTCTTCTTTTGTTCTATTGTAAACATTTATCCCAGGGAGCAGAATTTCAAGGCATTTAGTTAATATAAGGACATATCTCCTGATTCCTGCTTCATTATCTCAGCCCCCCTCAGTACAGAGTACCCCTTACCCCTTATACTACTCAAAGACCCTTTACTGATTCATATTTATCCCCAAAGACATTCACCCCTAATTTCAGAAAACCTATACTTAATCTTGTACTGCTCACAATATTTCTTTTCAGCCAGACCTGCAGGAAAACTATTATTTTTTAAAGCATACCGAAATCAAACATCAACATGACCAGGAAGTTTGAAACAACAGAGCTGAAACATGCACTGTTTCCAAGATGTTCAAGCTGTTCCTTAACATACTTTGAATTATAAGCAAGGTCAGCCTCTAGGCTTCCATACTCTTAAGCACCGGCAAATAAAGAAAACTAGAATCCCCCTCCCCTAAATTTCCTGAATGGAATTATGCAAAAAAAATGAATGTTTTTGACATCAAGGAGGAGTACCCATTATTAAAACATGCAACTATCAATATTAAACCAAAATTCAGCCTTAAAGTAATTTCTTAATTATATTTCCATTTTTCACACACTCTGGACAACTTTGCCATAACCCACTGTTAGATCCAGACCAACATTTCCACGTAAAATCTTTGAAAATTGCACAAGTCTTAGAGCTAGTACAGATCAAAACCCTTGCTAGAAATAATAGAATATCTCATCAATATTTTCAGCAGCAAACCATTCGTTGGAAGCCCTAATTTACTCACATGCAGCCTACAATGACTGAGAAAGTTAAGACTGTTTCAGCTGAGAAGACAAAGAAATATTGGGCAGATCTTAGTAAGGCACTAATCTCATTTTCATGCAGCAGCATTATTTTTAGCCTACACCTGTTTTAAAAAATAAAAGCATATGTTTGTATCTGTATGTATCTGCTTTGCGGACTTCAAGGAAGTTTTCCTTTCCAGCCAGCAACTCTTCACTGAAATTTTCTGTTTTATCTCTGATGTTTTTATGTTGATATGGGGGTGCAAGGTTTTACATACAAACTGAGCATTATTTATCAACCATTTATAGAATTAAAAGATCTTTATGGTTCTTTCCCCCACTTCTGTAACCGCTATTACACGCTTTTCACTGCTGTGCCCACAGAATTAAAGCTAATAATTGAAAAGAGAGTGGCACAAGGATGCTGAAGCCAGTCTCTGGGACCATGAGACAGAGAGAAAAGCGCGAGTCTCTTGCAGGGGATTTTCCCTCTCTCCGGATACCTCAGTTCAGAGCAGAGGATGCCGTGACCCAGAAGCAGCACTGCTGGCAGGCACTGGGGACTCACCTCCTAGACCTGTGCTGAAGGCAGGAACACAGCTGGAGACACATGGGAAACTTTAACCCAAAATTCTTCGCATTTTGGAGTTTTCCAATCTCTGTACTTCTTCAGTCTCTTCAAAGACCAAAACAAGGTTTATGCTAAAAGTAGATAATGATAATGAAGTGGTAATGCATTTTCAGAAAGAAGCAAATGCTAAGTAATAAAGCAATGCAAATAAAATAGCATTATTGCTGTTCATTTTTTTATATGCCAGTGGATGATTTTCTGTCCTGTCTTTGGGTGTGGATCCATTATATTTCACACTTATATTAGCCTATTTTTTCACCTGTGTCAAGCAAGTGATCTTCCTGAGTTGGTAATGGACTTATCAGGAAAGTAAAATATTTTCTTTTTTTAATCTATTTAAAATTTCTGTAATTTTTAAAATACTAATTTTAAAACAGTTGATGTTTGAAAGCAATACATATTTCGTATGCATCATATACTTTCTCTGTTGTCAGAAACCTGATTGAGGTTTTGTTAATCAAGAGCTTTTCACATAAAAGACACTTCTGTCACAGAAAAAACACAGTCCCGGTATCCATTTTGACTAATTAAAGTAGAAGCTTTATTCTCTGTTATTTCAGGATAGTGGTATCAGTGGGATGGGACATAGTGGTACACATCTAGTGCTTAAGCTGATGTAACCTGAGAGATGAAGCTATGGTTTCATAGTTAGTATAGTTTCAAAATAGTTAGCCTGTATTTAGATATACCATAAATGGTATCTAAATACTGCTAGATTGTTGATGAATTAAAACATCTATAAAATTACAAAAATGCAGCAGTTTTATATTTGTTTTCTATTCTATGTAGAAGTAACAAACTTCACAGATACAGAATGACAGCAAGCCTCTGAAAGAAAAATCTACATTTGTATTCTGAGAACTAGAAGGCACTTAACATGAGTTTTGTAATTTATTGCCATCATGGGAAGCATAAATTTCAGGAAAGCATGTGAGCTTCTCAAACTATATTCCCAGCATCAACCTATTTACAGAAAGAATTTCAATGAGAATCATAATTATATGTGGGGCTGATGAAAAGCATCTTTTCCCACATTGGTGCTGCTAGAAACTGTCAGTCAACACATATTTAAGCATTTTTTTACCTTAATGATGAGATTCAGAGATGCATGCTACACTAATTGTTTCCTAAAAGAAAAAGAGAAAGGAACGACTGAGTTCTATATATTGTTATCAGTGCATTGTTAGAATTTTATAGCTTACCTTAGTGTATTAATTTCTCTACAAAATTCAGCACAGCACAGCCAATTAAAAACATTATTTAAAAAACTGCACATGTTGCAAATTGGCCTCTGGAAAGTTCTTGTCTACAAGCAGCCAGCTCATCATAACCACTGCTACGCCTGGTCCCCCAAACAGAATGCATACCTGCCCAAAGCTCTGCTCCCACACATCTCTCCAAAAAAAAGTACAAAATATTTCGGGTGGTTTATGCAGGTACTATATTTCTCGAGTGCCTAGTAGACACAACAATCTTCCCTAATACTGCCTTAAAATGCCATTAACACAAACTTAAATTAGATGAATTATACCCTCTACTTCCTGGAGCATAGGATGCAAAGAATGTTTAGGTAACATTTTCCAGCAATGCAAAATTTACTTTTTTTTTTTTTGCATTCTGAAGACAAAAACATCATGAGGTCAGACCTTTTGTTCCCTTTAGCTCTTCAATAAATTAATATCCATTTGACAATGTTCTAGATGCATATTTTAGATGGAGGAGGAACTCTGCTTGGGATTTCTTCCCCCTAAAACCATGTCTGACAGGACTGACACCTTGAGCTGCCTCCTAAGGCTGTGCAACCTCTCAGCCACGTGCAAATGTCACAAGAATGCAAAGAGTAAAGCAACACGATTTTGGAGAAGGCTTTAAGGGAGAATTCACTATCCAGGTAACACCTAACCTCTGTCAACAATTCCACACAGGACACAGATATGGACACGGCAATTTTCAAAGTATTTTGAGATTGCCCGTGCATTTACATCACTAGGCAAAAAACCTAAGAAGCCCAACATGAAATACCAGCCACAACCTGTATTTCTGAGACTGGCAAAGAACTATGCAAACTGTTGGCACCACAGCATGGCTGGGAACCAGCTGGTCTTCCCATGTACCTTGAGCCACGCACTTTTACACTGGTACCTGGCATGTACCAGAGCTCCAGTCCTGCTGCACAAAAAAAGTTATTTTCTCTGATGCTGTCCCAAGCTTAAATACTACTGAAGGACTAATTTTTCATTCTGAATAACATTTTAATGTGATATCCACAAAGGAAATAGTTGGGCCAAGTATTAAGTAACCTGTGACTTTATAAACAGTTTTAGCTGCTGGGACACAGGTTGCCACCCAAACAGGCAATACCTTCTACTGGCCAACAACCCCTGTGTGCCCATCACCTTTCTCCTGTAGGCCCAAACAACAGCCTCCATGCAGATCAGCTCATACCGATTATGATCTACACATCAAGTGAATTAGTAGGGAATTCTACCAAAATATGGTTGCCTGTTAAAATTTAGCTTTGGAAATGTCTGCTGCTGAAGTTCTTCAGGATGAGCTGGTGCACTTTTCATCCACATTCATTCTAACCTAGGCTAACATTCAGTTGTAAACAAATCATTGTATAAAAATCAAACAAGCGAACTATTTTTGGAGAGAGCAAAGCCATAAGCCAGTCCCAAGTCCATGCAAACTCTGCTAAAATTACTACTTAATGTTGGTGATCAAAGGCTTTTTCAAGTGGGACTGTAAACCCCACCTTTCCAGGATGAACTTCTGGCTCAAGCAACCTCAAAAAAGTACACAGATCTCCATAATAATCTGTGCAGGCACGTGCATTGCAAAGCACTTCAGAAAAATCAGTAATTTCACTATGAGGCAGTCCCAGACCTACCAAGGGAGGTGCAATTCCCCTGCTGTAACGCAGGGGAGGCAGGAAGGCACACACTAGGCAAGGAACCCTTCCACACAGAAACTCTCCCCCAGCCTGGGAAATTCAGAGCCTGCCTCGGCAGCCCTGGGAGTTCAAGTCACAAACTGTGTGATTTGTTTGCGGAGAGTCTGCTAGTATTTAAGGAAAGAACCCAGAGGCATAGTAGAGTCTGATTTTTTGGGAACATATTTAATTTTTTTATAAAAGTTTGTTGGTTTTTTTATTATTTTTAATTTGCCAGAGGAGCTTATCGCTGGGTTTGTGGCATTTTTTGGCATTTTTGCATGGAATGACTTGCATTAACAGCCATGTAAAATCAGACGTTTTTCAGTCCTGCTACATACTAGAGCACAGGAGTCTTGAGACTGAGATCCAGTTCTTAGAAAATACCTTGGAAGTGACGCTTTGGAAGGCAGCTGACAGATCACTCTCTCCTTGTTACAGAGATGATTAGGCAGATTCCTGCATTAATTTTCAGTTAAAGGAAAAGTGGTAGGTAGCACCCAAAACGCAGTTGCTAACTTTAGTGCTTTAAAGTAACTGCACAACAGTTGTGAACAATTATTTCTTCTGGCCAGGAATCAAAAAAGCACCACTAAGAAGGTTCACTTGCAATTACAATCATTTTGTTGGCAGGTATAAATGGCTGTGTTTAATATTTTAGCAGAGATATTAAATTTCTAATTAGATGAGATGTCTAACACCGAGTATTAGATTTAATGAATCAATCAGTTTAATGGCTGACTCATTAAGATACAGAGACAACCTTCTTCTAAAATCATTTAAAAATCCATTATTCTCAGGCAAGGATCTCTAAAACCCCAAAGCAGTATTGGATAACTGGATTAGGATGTAACACAATGCAGATATGCTCCAAATGATGCACGCTTACAGAATGGTCACTAAGATCTCACACAGATGACAGTAGGCCAAGTTTAGGGATTTACAGTGGAAATTTACCTGGATCGCTCAATTTCTTAGCATAACTACTGCTGCTTTTCTGCACATTCAGCATCAACCGTTTCTGAAATTGGCTTAAAATGAAACACTGCTGTCAAAAATACCTTCCCTTAAATGAAATAAGTGTACATGACCTACCAATTTGACATGGCTGTGCTTTCCTGAAAAGACATGTAGGGTATGTCTCAACATGGACTTGCCCCTTCCCCTTGTTTACGTACCCTAGATGCCTCCCTTTTAGGAGGGACAGAGCTCAAGCACAGCAGAGGACCTCTCTGCAAGACCAAGACGGGACCTACACGCTGCAGCCCACTCGACCAGCAGATACCCTCAAGCTAGCTGTTATCAACCACAGCCTGGACATCTTGAGCTCAAGTGGTAGCGGGCTGACAGTAACCACAGAGATTACAGATCTGGTGAGCTTAAATCCACCCTCCAGCCTGTCCGCCTCTAAAGGGAGACATCCTTCTGGAGAAGACAGCACCATGGATTTTTCACTGAACTGGACAACAAATGTTTTGTAGAGATAACGCCACTAACAGCAGTCCTTGTAGGCAAAGCCTGCAGAGTTGGATATGGAGTGAAATACAGAATTCATTCTTTTTTAATGAACAGGGCTGCTGAGCTGCTTTGGGGCTGCAGAAGTGATGCTTCTGCTTTTAAGTCACAGCATTAACACTTGGCATTAATACATCTCAATCATAAAAGCATTGGAAAAACCTCACCTTAATGCCGCTTCCAAAAAAATGGAGCATTTTTTTGCTGGAGGCAGGGTTTGTCCAAACAACGTGTTCAGGAGGACAAATGCAGGTGATGCAGACAAGAGTGTTGAAAAAATGCTGGATTCAACAAAGACAATTGTCCAGCCCATAATCTCTACCAAGTAACCACACACCAATGAATAGTATTTCTCAGGCACATCATTCAAAAGCAAGTTTTAAGAGGAACATCTAGCTAAAAATTCAGTAGTGATTATCCAAACCTCTGGCTGACTAATAAACCACTGTTCTTCCTGCCTAGTATCTGAGGATGTCAAGATTACACGAGATTCATTAATGTTTTAAAAATGGTATTTAAATATTAATTAACACTAAGAAACACTCAGGTGAGGACCTGTCTTCAAGTCTTTATCCTTTGCTGGACTAAGCATGGTATTTAGGGATCTCTAGTATTCTTTTCTGACTCCTGTTCTGGAAAGGTGCCTTGAAGTGATGTGGAAGTACTTTGCTATGTCTGGACCCATGAGCTTTGTTTCTGCCTCATGCAAAATGAGCAGTAACTATGTATCTGGCACACGTATCCTGAGACTTAACACTGGTCTGCTTCATACAACTAAATAATTAACTTCATAAGTAAGCACAGGATTTGCCACTGACCCACTTCCCGAAGAGCCCGTGTGAGGCTGCCAAGAGTCTTGTTCCCCCAGCACCAGAACAAACCTCTCACACCACTTTTGTCCTTCCCTCCATATTTTTCAATGCTCCAGCAAGTGTCTTGAGAGCTGCTCAGCTGTAGGAAAAAAATAAATGTGAAAACTAAGGGTGCAAGAGTGTCCTTGGGCAAAGGACAAGACAGGACCATCCCTTCAGCAAGAGCAAAGCCACACCTTCCATGACTGGAAGCCATGTATTCCACTGTAAATAGAATGCACATTAGCAGTTGGATTTATTTTTTTTTTTCAATTGAAGTGACACAGTTTCTATCCAATTCTGACTAATTAATGCAGCACAGAGGTCCTGGAGCTCCCCACCCAACCTGCAGGTCTCAAATGGCCACACGTCTGAAGTGGCAGGAAACTATGTACAGCTGTCCTTCTGCTCTGCAACTACATAACATACATTTCTCCCTGGGACCACTCATCCTCAGCCCACCACTTCTTCACCCACACCCTCCTTTCCCTCTATGCCGAACCATGGAAGAGGAAAAGGAGAAGGAGGAGAAGAAGGATGAGGGAGGCTGCTCGATGGGCAAATCCCCCTCATGGTGCCCTTGGCATTTTTGCCTGAAGATGCTGAAAGACACTGAGCACCTCATGTTTCTTTTCCCATACCCTGTTCAGGGCATTGCAGGAGTTGCCTCTGCACATTGGGATCCACCACCATATGATGGCAGAGCAAGGAGATGAGGTAGCTTCAGGGATGCCTTATGCTTTACACAGCCACTTCAGGCAAAACCCTGGTGCCCAAGGGCAAGCTGTGTCCTCCCCTCCTCCCGGCTCTCCTAGCACCAATACGTACCCAGAATAGAGGGGACCATACACTGTGTGGGCACTTCTGCACTAAAAAGACTGTCCTAGCAGAGACAGGGACTGCATCTCCATCAAAGGAGGTTTGCTGACTTGGTTTTATGGGTGCACCTACAACAACAGGCCTGCTTTTTCACAAAAATAACCAACTCTGTGTTTTTTTGCTGTGTCCCCCTCCCAGCTATGATTTATTTTCCATATATGGAGGGTGCCATTGCTGGTGCATTGGCATCCAATGCATTTTAGTATGCTCCAGAGTACCCAAGGCATTGGCATGGCTTTGCAGATAGAACAGAGGATTTACAGAAGCTCAGTGCCTTTCTGGAGGAAAAAATGGTATTGAGATTGATAACCGAAGGCCATCAAATGGTGCCAATTATGTTCAGGCATCTGAATACCATCCTTAATTCCATTCACAGTAATAGGTTTTTAGGCTCTTGATACATATATGGATAGCTATTTCTAGATACCTACATGTAGCTGTCTTCATCTGGAGCTGAAACCTGCTCTTCAGTCCCTGCAGAGTAGACCTTACCAACAGCTGCAAAACCATTGCTATTTTAAATGCAGGATTTTTTTTCCCCTCTAACAACACACAGTCTATTACTGTTGTTACACGTGGGAGTTCTAATCAGGATCTGATTGCACTCGACTCTCAAACAGAAATAAGCAAATCTGACCTCAACTTTTCAAAATGCAAGGGGAAGAAAAGGTCCAGAATTAAAAGCATTCACGACAAAATTAGCTCAAAGGTTTAGATAAACTAATTTACATGAGTACACCCAGGTTTTAGATGACAGAATGACTAGCCATTACAGGTGATGTAGGCTGTCCGGTGAAGACAGTTAAAGCACATTGGAATTTGTATAGAAAGAGGAGTTAAGTGTTTTATAAACAGACTCCATATGGCACTCCCAAAATTCAAGCAGCCCTTGCTGCTAAATTGAAACTGAACAAAATAATATCAAGCTCACACCTTGGTATGTTTTGATGTTTCATTCAGAGAAACAAATTCAAGAATGCTTCCCCCTCTATCTCACAAGGCAGTACAGCAATTAAATTGGCTTAGTTTGTAACATACCTCCATTTAAAAAAAAAAAAGAAGGGAAAAAAGAAAAAAAAAAGAAAAAAGGAAAAAAAAAAAGGCAAAAAGACCTTTTTCCATAAAAAGGGGAAAATTACCTTTAACTGGGCTGTCAGTGTTGCATTCTAGATTTCCCCAGGATTCAGTCTTACACATGCAATAAAACAGTAATGCTCTTTTTTTCAACTCCAGCAGTTGCTAAAATAACAAAGGTGGGATTATAAGCAAAGACAGCTTTCAGCTTGATCATGAACTTAAAATATAAAATACTTCAGTTTGTCAAAATAATGCACCCTTGAAAGATATGAGACTTGCAGAAATGGACAAACACCTCAGGAGAAGACTTTTAATGTTGGGATTAATTAATTAACTACCAGCACTACTCTATTAACTGCTGAGATACACTGATCCTGAAGCCCTGTTTTCAAAAGGAAACATGCCCACCCCAATCCTATTCGAAATGTCTCACCAAATCACATCAGTCAAACCAACATGTTGGCTCAAAATCCTTAAAATAAAGGTGCAGGCAGTTAACTCACACACCGCGCTCCCTGGCAGGTAAGCTCGTACCCCCCACACTGATGGACTAGTGCCACCAGATAGCTCAGTTCCCAGCCACAACCCACTCCTGATTGCATATGAGACCTCCTGTGAGTCCAAGACCCAAAGCTAACCAGGCATGTCTTATCAGCAATGCACAGGTTGGGGTTGGGGGGGAGGTGGGGAGGAAGGAGCTAATTAAGTTACAATATGGTGAGGTATAATGAAAAAATATATATTACAGATGGGATTTAATAGGAAAAGGAATATCCATATCATTAGGCAAAGATGAGGGCTCTAGGAAACTGAAGGAACATTAAGAGAAGTTCTTCATCCTAGAATAATGAAAGGTCGGCTTGATGACCTGCTTGACAAAGGGCAGAGCCTTTCTCATGGAACAGTAAGTACTAAAGAAGAAAAACTCTCTTCTCTTGATCAGTGGTTTTGAAAATTCACCATCAGGGATTTTAGAGCAACAGATGGCACATCTGTCCCTGAATTTCTTTGTTATTTTCCTGTCCCGTAAGAACATCATGCCAGTTTTGCAGCTACGTACTGTACGTTTTTAAATACAATTTGGAAGAAGTTTGCAATTACAAGATTGCCTCCGCTTCTCATGGAGAACTTTGTATTTTGAGTGTGAGGATCATTTCACAGTAACTTACATTTCTTCAAATTAAGATTCCTCAGGGTCACACAATAAAATGATCCCTCTAACTTAACAAGCCACCTATCTTGAAATTAAGAGAACAAAGTTCACCTGGGGATAAATTAGTGGTTAATGGCCATGTGGATGCACCTACATAATCAAACTTCTCTCCTCTGTCTTCCCACTTTGCTTCGCACCTGAACTGTGTGTGCTGTGCTGTTCCAAACACAAATTGCCTGGATGTTACCACCTCATTGAAAGGCTGGCAGGTGGCCACGGGGCCCCATGAGTGACTATGTACTCCTGGAGTCACGCACACCCTGTGCTCCAGCAGTATTTTGGCAGCAGCCATGTCTCACATGTTTGTAGGGAGCCAGGCAGAGGGCACGGGCTTTGCAATCTGGGGAAGAGGGGTTAGTCCTGCCTCAACAATAGCCCTGACGACATGAAGATACACAGATGTATATCAAAGGGATGCTGAGAGGGGTCACTCCGGGAACACGGCTCAAAGCAGCAGCAAATGAAGGGGCTCTGGCACAATTATTTAAAAACAAACTTTGGGAAAGAAGCAGAATTCTGGCAGTGCTCCAAGTACCTTTCCCGAGTACCTCCGAGCGCCAGCTGGACTTTTTCCAGCAAAGCCACCGACTATGTCTAACGCAGACAAAAGGCACAGAGGAGTCCGTGGTCCTTAACCGGGGCTCTAGTGAGTACGAGCTTCCTTTCCCCATACCGGAGTCCAAACCAGGACCCCGAGAACAGAAAGCTCTTTCACCCCGCAGGCATGCCCGCAGAGGGGAAGCGTCTAGCCGGTCCCAAGCAAGTCACTGTGGGACCCCAGCGGTTTCAAATAAAAATAGTGTAACGGAGGTATGTTTATGGAAACATCAAATACAAAAAAAAGAAAGGCAATGTAAAACATACTTCGCTCCTTATAAGGCATATTTAGCATTTTATAAGGTATACTTTCCCAAGCGAGGAATGGAAAATTGGACAGACGCTGAGAGCACTGGGCCAGGCTCGGTGTTATTAAACCTTGGTTCAGTACGGTCACTCTGAAGCACTGCTCACCGCACAGTGCACTTCGTGTGTGCCTGCAAGCAACAGAAAAAGATCTTAAGACAAGAATTATGTTTTTCTGCATGAAAATTGCAGGCTTTATCAGTATTGCAGATGTAAATAATTTTCCCACTCCCCTTTGCAGGCCACCCTGGCAGATTGTGCTCCTGAGCAGCACCATTGAATCATTTGCTGCTTTGTCTCCTGCCTTTCCTAATAAGCCCATTAACAAGCTTCTTGGTGGCTTACATCACACTACCATCTTCCACGCAGGAAGTGGGTGTGTGAAAGTGCAAAGGTCCACACGCCTGTTTCCTGCAACCTCCTATCTCCCAGCCTGGGCCTAAACCCTAGGCTAATTTTTCCACAGCATTACCCTGATTACTCTGAAAAAGTCCTCAACTTTTTACCCTGAATCTTCCTTACTACAGTTTAAGCCACACTACCTCTTATGAGATACTTTCTCCACTGCAACAGCCTTTTCTAAAAAGAAGGCTACTATTATGTCTCTCCTTCAGTCTTCTCTAGGCTCAAACAATTTGCAGGAGTTGACTCTGCGGCAATGCTCTGAAATTTTCTCACACAGAAATGAGGTCGTCTCTAAGAGGCATTTTAAAGCAAATTGCACTGCACGATTAGGAGAAGGCAACAACAGATGCTTGTCCAGAACTCTAAATGCTTCTTCTGGGAGAACATCAGGGCTGTTCTTCTGCAAAGGCACGTGCAAGAAAGCAGACAGCGTACTTATTTCAAAACAGTTGCAATTCAGCAATGCAAACCAGGCATAAATCTCTAAATTCAAGATTAAAGCTGAAAGATCTGCTCTGCAGCAACTAAAAACACAAAATGACATTAGGAAAACCATAAATACTTCCCAGAATATAAAGTCATGTTCATAACTTTTGTATCTGCAACTGAAATGTAATATCTTAAGTCAACTCCATAGAACTCCATAGCTCAAAACTATTTCATCACAGAATCATATAATTTATTTACTTTTCCCTTGAGAATCTGAATACAGTAGAGGCCACTATTTTCCAATTTTTAAAAGCACTTTTAGTCTAATCTATTACATACATTTCTAAACCACCTATCACTTCAGTTTCTTGACAAGCTTTAGATAATATTCACAAGTTAAAAAATAACATACTGTGCTCCCCCATCCCACATCCCAAAATCTTAGCTTTTGTGGATTCCTAAATGTTAGCTACTACCTTGAGTAACTTTTGGGAGGCTATTGAGCTAAATTCTATTGAATTAAACTGAGTTTACTTTGAAGGTTATAACACAAAACTAGAAGAAAGGCTGAATAAAATTCTACTTTGCATTAAAGGTTTATAGAAGTGAAACTTGTCTCTAGTGTCACATACATCGATAGTACTAGTGAGCACTAGCCTCTTTAATGATAGAAGAGTTTGGGTTGGAAGGGACCTCTAAAGGTCATCTAATTCAACCTCCCCTGCAATGAGCAGGGACACCTTCAACTAGATCAGGTTGCTCAGAGTCCCATCCAACCTGACCTTGAATGTTTCCAGGGATGGGGCATCTACCACCTCTCTGGGTAACCCATTCCAGTGTTTTGCTACCCTCATTGTAAGAAGTTTCTTCCTTATATCTAGTCTGAATCTCCCCTCTTTTAGTTTAAAGCCATTACCCCTTGTCCTATTCCAACAGGCCCTGCTAAAAAGCCTGTCCCTATCTTTCCTGTAGGCCCCCTTTAAGTACTGAAAGGCTGCAATAAGGTCTCCACAGAGCCTTCTCCTCTCCAGGCTGAATGACCCCACCTCCCTCAGTCTGTCCTCACAGGATGTTTCATCCTCCCTTATCAGTTATTGCTGAAGGCAGGGACGTGTTGGTAGCTGTGGCCAGCCCCAGTCTGCTGGAGAACGCTTTCCGCATGGCAGCTTGAGGTCGAATCAAAGGTGAAAACCAGGAAAAGGGCTGAATTTTCAGTCACTGAAACTGCCTCTCCAGACCTTTAAGGCCTAAAATAGACACAGTTAAATGGCGTTTAAGACAAACACAACCACAAGGCCTCCCCAAGCCATCACGACTCAAGCGCAGGATAGGCCTGGGTGGAAAACTGTCGGTAACGCTGAAATTACAGAATCACAGAATGGTTTGGGTGGGAAACCCACGTCGACTCCAGTCACACAAATCCCGCGTGTAAGAGCTAAAGGTCGCGGGTGCCTCTTCCCTCCCGCGGGCGCACCCCACGCCGAGTCCCACACCCGCTTATCCCTTGGCAGCCGCTAGGCCGCAATCCTTGCCAGCGCCACCCGCGGCCGCCGCCGCTGCCCTCGGCCCAGCCTGCAGGGAGGTCGAGCAGGTCGGGCCCGGCCTCCCCTCCGCCGCAGACTCTCCCCCGCCTGCAGGGAGGCCGAGCGGGCCGGTCCCGGCGGGTGGCGGCCCTCTGCCGCGCCGA